TCTACCCCTTCGACTCGCAAGGCAGAGGATGGTTCTTCTTCCGCCCGTCGTCCAGACCACCTTGACACAGTCCTTTGTTCTGTCTCACTGGACGATTCCCTTGACGAGCTCGACAATGAACTAATAGCACTAAGGAGTTCGTGGGCGAAGAAAGCAAAGTCTAAGGGTGAGTTAATGATCGCGGATGTTGAGATTGAGCACACGCGAGTAGGTGCCCTGTTAGATCCGGGATCGACGCGGTCGTATATCTCAGAGAAGGCAATTCGAAAGTTGCATCTGGGAATGAAGGTAAAGGATTTACCTAGACCTATCACGTCTATACTGGCTGACAAGAGCACGATTACTGTCTCTCAATACATCGATCGTGCGAAATGCTATTTCAGGGCCAAGGAAGGTATAAGAAAATTCTACACTTCCTTATAGAGAAGAATTTACCCTTTGACTTAATTCTGGTTATGGATTGGCATGAGGAAGTCGACCCAGAAGTTCAAGTTCAAAGATAAAATTACCAAACTCAAGGACGAGAAGTCTGAATTACGTGCGATAAAGTTATATCATAAGTATGGCTCTGACTCTACTCTGTCTTTCTGTTGTATGAGTTACCCAGCTTTCCAATCAATGGTAGTAAATAAGAAGTTAGATCAGGAGGTGATGATGATGCTCGTCAAACGAGTCGGTGAGTGTTCTTCATCCTACCCACCTTCTATTGAAAATCTTCTTGGTGAATACAAGGACTTGTAGTCTGAACCGATAGTCACTAAGCGTGCTATCAAGCACACAATCGAGATTATTCCCGGAAGTAAGATTCCCAAGGGTCCCATTTACAGTATGTGTCCCAGGGAACTTGAGGAATTACGAAAAAAGCTGCGAGAACTTGCTGATAGAGGATGGATTCGCCCTAACTGATCTCCTTATGGTGCGTCTGTCTTATTCGTGCCCAAAAAGGAAGGTGAACTTCGTTTATGTATTGATTCTCACGGGCTGAATTCCGTCACGATTAAAAACGCGGAACCTCTTCTGCTCATTGATGATCTATTGGATCAGTTGCAGGGATGCAGATACTTCAGCAAGATTGATCTTAAGTTAGGGTACCACCTGATCGAGGTGGTTCCTAAAGATCAACACAAGACGACTTTTCGAACAAGGTATGGTCACTACAAGTTTGTGGTAATGCCTTTCAGATTGACTAACGCCCCTGCAACTTTTTAAAGGTCCATGAATGAATTGTTCCGACAGTGGTTGGACCGATTCGTAATAGTCTATCTCGATGACATTCTAGTGTATAACAAAACACTAGAGGATCATGAAAAACACCTACAAATGGACTTGCAGAAGTTGCGTGAGGCCAACTTCAAACTAAATCGGAAGAAGTCTGAATTGGCTAAGCCTGAAGATTTGTACTTAGGGCATATAGTAAACGAGGAAGGACTAAGGCCTGAAGAAAATAAGATTACAGCAATCAGAGATTGGCCACAACCTAAGACTAGAACTGAACTAAGGTCTTTCTTAGGACTAGCTAGCTATTATAGGAAGTTCGTTAGAAACTTTTCTTTGATAGTCGCTCCTATGAGGAGACTATTGAAAAAGAAAAAGCCTTGGTTGTGGGACAAAGATTGTGAGTCATCATTTCGAAAGTTGAAACATACTCTGACTCACTACCCTGTGCTAAAGATTGTTGACCCTTCGCTTCCTTTGATTGTCACGACTAACGCAAGTCAGTATGGGATTAGGGTTGTGCTACAGCAGGATGACGGTAAATGATATAGACCTGTTGAGTTTATGTCGAGAAGACTTCCGTCAGAAAAAGTAGCCAACTCTATGTATGAAAGGGAACTGTAGGCCTTAGTAGCTGCACTAGATACCTGGAAACTCTATTTGTTAGGAAGGCACTTCACTATCTACTCTGATCACTCTACATTGAAGTGGATCAAGACTCAACCTAGACTCTCCGACAAGTTGGTAATGTGGTCCGCATTCCTTGATATATTTGACTTTGAGGTGAAAACCATCAAAGGTAAGTCTAACGTGGTTGCGGATGCTTTGTACAGGCGTGCTGATTTCTTTGGAAGCCAGGGTTATGGGAGTGATCCTATTTGGAGTCCTATCATTGGAACTCTAAAAACGAACCCTAAGTTATTTCCAGAATATCGAATGACTGATGGCTTACTCTTCTTGCTAGACAAAATCGAAGAACGATTGTGTATTCCTCACCTAGAACCAATTAAGAGTTTGATGCGAAAGGTCACTTTGGTTTCAAGAAGACGTATGCCGATGTGCGAGAAGGTTTTGAGTGGAAAGGAATGAAGAAAGATGTACTAACGTATGTGCGAACTTGTCTTGTCTGCCAAAGGAGCAAGCCCTCACATGAGAACCTGATGGGACTACTGAGACCGTTGGCTATTCCAAGTGAGCCAGGTGAGTCTATCTCTATTGACTTCATGAGCCTCACTAAGAGTCGAAACGGCAATAGTGAGGTAATGATCATCGTCGATAGATTCTCTAAGTATGCTATGTTCATTCCTTTACCTGTGAAAGCATGAACCGAACTAGTCATCCAAAAGTTTCAAATGCGATGGGTCTCTAAGTATGGATTTCCTAAAACCATCGTATCCGACAGAGATGTTCGGTTCACCAGTCCGCAAGGGCAAACGTTGATGGAAGTCTATGGAACCAGGTTGACCAAAATGAGCAAATGAATCGTCTTGTCAACAACTTTTGTAAATGTATGTCCGTTCTAACCAGATTGATTGGGATGAAAACTTGTCGAAAATTGCTAGTGCATATAATAACAGTATACATACTGTTACAGGTAGAACGCCTAATGCACCACATAAAGGTTGGAAGCCTAAGCGTCCCATTGATGCATTAACAAGGGACCAGATTCAGAGGCTACCCCCAGGAACCCGAGAATTCACAGTTTTGTATGAAGAAGACATCAGGAAAGTAAAGGAAAACATACAGAAAGCCCAACTACAAATGATTGAACAAGCTAATAAACATCGTCGTCCTTCATAATTTCAGGAAGGGGACTTTGTCTGGGTTAAGTCTAAAGAGTTTTCCTTAGAAGAAAATGTGTCTCATAAACTGCTACCTGTCTACTATGGACCCTGGGAAGTTCTCAAAGTAATTGGAGGAGAAGATGGACCTTCTTACCGTATAGATATACCTACACATCTCAGGACATACCCTGTCTTCGATGCGTCTAAGCTGCTACCTTATGTACAAAGTGACAATTTCCCAAATAGGCCATCAAAGATTCCACCTTCTATGAACGGAGGATGCGAAGTTGAGAAAATATTGGAACATGGCTATTTCTCCACAGGTGGCAGAGGACGACCTCAAAAGCAGTACAAGGTAACGTTCAAATCCCAACTCCCATCTGAAGCTAGATGGTTTAGTAGGAAAGAACTTCTACCTACTGCTCCTGACATTGTTGCGGCATATGAACATGGGTTAACTGAGAAATGATGTATTTTTGCGATGGAACTCGAAAATTGGGACGGCAGGAATGCAATAACCCATGCCATATGTCTCGTGGAACTGAGGGCCATCAGAAGGCCTACTTGGCCACCCTCAGCCCAGGCCAAATAAGGGCAGAAAAGGCCCTTCACGGATTCAGGGTCTGGGCGTGTGACAGTTGACTTCGTCCACCCAACAGTCAAAGTCCAAAGGTACCTAGCCCAGGCCGCAGGTCAAGCACACACATTCATTTGTATGCAGGTACCCAAACAGCATCAGGTCCAAGGGAGAAGTCTGCAACTGTACAATCCAGGCGTTGAGATGTGAGTCAATCTGGACAACTGGAGGAAAGGCACCCGAGGCCAGACAGCCTCGACGACTGCTACTTAAGGCTGGCCTCGAGCAAGTCAAGCATTCATTCTTGCTATGCTGCTTTGACGCTGGCTCGACTTCGACACGACGCTGGCTTCAGGCTGGCTTTGCGCTGGCGTTGCGGACGACGGCACGTGGTAGAGGCAGCATGCTGGCGCTTCTTTAGTGCGTCAGGCCATGCTGATGTGGTGCTGCTTCTGGTCTACGTGGCATGATAATGTGGCGCTGCTTCTGGTCTACATGGCATGCTGACGTGGCGCTGCCTCTGGTATATGTGGCGATGCTTCTGGTCTATGTGGCGGGCTGACGTGGTGCTGCCTCTAGTATATGTGGCGCTGCGCCTGGTATATGTGGCGCTGCTATTGGTCTACATTGTTGATGTGGCGTATGCCACCTGTCTTCGTTGCTGACGTGGCATTGTCCACGCTTCTACATGAGGTGACTGGTTACGAGGAAGAGGAAGATCGGGATCTATGGTTGTAGAGAATCGGGTACTCACCTGTGGCTGACGTCGTCACCGGAAATCTGCTGTGTCTTCAAAGTCTTCATGAGATAAAGTGCCACGTGGCACTATTGTATGTAATAAGGATTATTCTTATTATCATCGATGATGTAGTGTGGAAAGAAGCCCGGAGAAGGAGAGGGATCTGAAGGGTTCTGTGTATTCTCTCTTCCTCTCCTTTGTCTATTCTCCCTCCATACACTTCTCTTTCTGGATATTGAGATACTGCTTGAGATATCACTTCTCGATCTGGAGACTTTCAGACAGATATTGAAACTACTGTTTATTGACGACTTCTGAGTATCTAACAGACTCGGTTCATTGCACCCAGTGCCGAAAGAGACAAAGAGGCCTTGCCTTCCCTCATGCATACCCTACCCTTAGACACACGCGTGGGATTCAACTTCCTATGTGGTTGGCCCTTTGTCCTCACAGATGCACGAGTTTGGAGCTGATCTTATGGAAGTTGCTTGATGTGACTAAAAATGACAAGAATGTTTTTTGTTTGGCGCCCCATATTGGACTTTGCAGACACACTTCGTGTTTATTAAACATTTTTGGGTACCCTGAGCAACACGTTGTCCAGTCCATGAGTTTGGAATCATTCTCAAGGAAATTGTTTGAAATTCCTGAGAATGACTAGCCTTTTCATTGTTTGTTGCAACAGATTGGATCTTGCAGAGACGCGAGCATTGGAAGTGGGAATTGTGGAGCAGTACGTATCGTTCCTTAGTATTGTTGTCGATCATGTCAGTGAAGCAACAGCTGTTTTGTGGAATGCACTGAGATGCCTCAAGATACTGTTGGAAAAGCTGGGTGAGTAACAGCATGGTTTCGTTTCCTGTTTCTTCCTTGGCCATTAAAAGACAGTGCTGGTGAGTGATCGTGCAGGGTGGAGATGAAGTCAATTGAATGCAAGTTGCTTTATTTGCTGATGCAGATTGAAACCCCCTCCAAAATTGGCATATTGCCTTGTGTCACTCCTGATTGTGGGGATCCCCTGTTCCAAACATGTGGGAACCGCAATCCGTTAGTAGTCCTGGTGCCTTCTGGGCATGGGAGAAACTGCAAAGATGTTCAATAGTTTACTTGAATTGTGCACTATCGTAGCATTGCTTCATCATCACAAATGCGTAAGATTTGTTGTTCGTACTTGTTTTCATTTTCTGTTCTCTGATCATTTGTTTCGTTTGGGATTGGAATTCAAGCATGCAGGCCTAGACTGCACTTTGTCTTCACTCTGGCTCAGTTCAGACTTCAGTTTTTGTCCTTTGAAAGCCTGTGAAGTCAGTGTTCACCAGTAGTTTCTGACGCAGGAATGAAAACAAATGAACCTGCTCCTCTTCGGTTCATTCAAACATCGCAGAACGGAGGGAGGGAAGACATGTTGAGGTTGGTGACATTGGTTTTGTGTATGGAAAACAGACAAGCGAGAAGCAGCGACTGTGCATTTAGTTTTCTGAACCTGCCGTAGCCTAATGGCTCTGGTTCAATGTGGCACATGGACTTGTTTGGGACTGGCCATGGAGGGTGGGAAGTGAACCAGCAGTGGAGAGGTACTGGGAACATTGGGAGACAAGGTTATAGTATAAGTGATGTCTACATCACCGTGTGATCCCATCGGGGCAGTAAGGAGCACGAAGCACATGGCCACCATGGACCCAGACAGTTGATCTATCCACACAATGGACACTGATGGTCTGGACCGGGTCCGAATGCCCTGGATCTGGTGCGGTTGATGTATCCACACATTGGACACTGATGGTCTGGACTGGGTCCGAATGCCCTGGATCTGATCCGCACCAAGGGGCTCACTATATAGATATCGTCAAACAGAGCTGCCCTGTAAACCGTAGGCAGAGAGGGAGAAGAGGACAACAAACGAGGGGCTGTGACAAACTGTTTCATCCGAGGTTCACCGACTCATCAGGACGCTGAACCCTATATATCGTCAAACAGACATGGTTACCAGCCCGTACGTATGGAGGCCCCCGGGCCGACTTCCATATACGTTCGGGCGTTCGGGGTCCCGTTCGGGGTCCGAACCTGAAGGGTTTCGGCCCCCGCCAAAAATTATTTCGGGGTCAATTTTATTATTATTATTATTATTATTATTATTTTTATTGGTCAGTTCTTTATGATGTGAGGTACATGCCTATAAATTTTGAAGTCATTTTCCTAAGCCCAAAAAAAAAAATCGCCAAAGATGGCAGTGTCAAATCGTGCTCGCCAACTCACAATTTTGTTTTGTTTTCTCTTTTCACTTTAATTCGGGGCCTAAACAGTTTTATTATTTTTTGAAGTTTATTTTATGAGTTTTTTTCTGCGTACGGATCCGGGCCGCCCGGCCGACTGGCGCCTGCCCGGGGGCGGGCCCCCCCCAGCACACGTTGTTGGCGGGGGTTCCCGACCCCGATTCGAGGAGATTTCGCCTCCCCAGGGCCTACCGGGTCCGACCAAGGCCAGAAAACGGCCCGTCGGGCCCGTGAGGCCTGTTTTTTTTTTTTTGAATTTGGGACGGCCCTATGGCCATCGATCATCCATGATCAACGGCCAGAGGGCCGTTCGTTTTTGGAGGGAAAACGGAGGCCCCGTTTGAACAAGCCACTGGCTGGGGCGGCCTGCATTCGCTGTCCAAACGGGCATCGACACCTGCTGTAGCCGGCTGCGTTCATCGTCGAGTCGCCCGTCGTCGAAGTTGCTGCCCCTCGTCGCCATTGCGTGGGAGCTTTACTCGCCCGTCGTCGTTGTGTCGCCCGTCGCCCGTCGCTAGTGTCCTCCATCGCGGTGCTCCTGCCTGCCGACAACCCCTGCCGCCCGTCAACGTGGAGTGCCGGTCTGTTCTTCTTCTTCTTCTTCCCTCCTCCTCCGCTCATTCTTCTTCTTCTTCTTCTCTCCTCCTCCTGCTCCCCCCTCTCTTCTTCTTCTTCTTCTTCTTCTTCTTCTTCTTCTTCTTCTTCTTCTTCTGCTTTTCTTCTTCCACGACTTCTTCAATCCTCCTCCTCCTCCCCCTCTCATCTTATTCTCCTCCTCCTTCACCGTCTCTCGTCGTTGTCCTCCTCCTCATCTTCTTCTTCTTCTTCTTCTCTCCTCCTCCTCTTCCGGCTATATTCTTTTTCTTCCTTTATTTTTTACTTTCGTTAGCGATAGGTCGCGAGACAAACGACAGGTAAGAAAAAAAAAAAAAAAAAATGCTCCGCTCGTCATCCTCCTCTTCTTCTTCTTCTCCTTCTTCTTCTTCTTCTTCTTCTTCTTCTTCTTCTTCTTCGCAAACTAATACTACGTAATTCATGTTGTTTCAAGAACTCTGACAGCAGAGCCTCTTGAGAACTCATGAGTTGTTGTAATTCCGAAACAACAGATTCGCTTCTTGCTTCAAAAGTAGCCTTGAAAGTTTCGCCAAAAGCTACTAGAATTTCTTCATTATAAAGTAAAATTTGTTTTGAACTTAGCACACTGAATAGTAAAATGCCAAATAGAACAAATGCGTGCCGATCATTCCTCCGCCTCGTCTCCTCCTCCTCCTCCCTCCCCTCTCATCATCTTCTTCTTCTTCTTC